CTCACCATCCTTAATAACTATTTAGAAAAATATTAAACTTGAATTTCAACAAAGAAAATGAAGGATTCGTGTCGTACGATGACATTGTATGCAGAGCTTTAGGGTGGGTTTTTTCATTGTTGTTGAAATTCTTCTATTCCAACGAAATAAAATATTGAAATTGAAATTCTTCTAGTTAAATATATATATATATATATATTTTTATGGAAATTCCAACGGTGAGAATTAAGTGCGAATAGTTTAAAATTTAATAAGAGTTTTAAAAATCGAATGACAAAGTAGAAATGAGTCTATAAAAATTTCGTGGAAAATATGGGAGTAATCCTAGGCTGTATTCAAGATATAGCCTTTTTTTTTCCCCCCAAAATGTTTATCGGTATAAAATAAATTGTGATAATGGATTTATTTTGGTGGTAACTTCCCATTTGTTGCGCTTTTCTAAAGGTTAATGATTGTTAAATTTGAGTATCCCATTTTGAATTTAAACAAATTACTATTAAAAAATATTGTATTGCTACTGTGCAATTCTGAAGTGCTTTTCCACCATTTTCAAACCAGGGCCGGCTCAAGACCGTAGGAGCTTTAGGCGAAAGTTTCATTTTAGGCCTACAAATATTTAATAATTAAGCATATGGACAATATTAATATATATAATACAATGTGCAATTTATGAAATATTGTTCTTTTTAATAGATGGTTAATTTACAAAAAATTTTAAAAAAATATTTACTCTAAATTTTGTTAAGTTTGTTCGCTAGCGAAAATTAATTTACTTCAAAATTTTTCTTTAGGATAAGCTATGATTTAAAAGTTTAAAGAAAAAGAAAACTGTAATATTCAATGCATGAGAAATAACCATTAGCTCAGAAGTGCATCATAATTAGGAAACAAAACGTAGAATGAATTTTTGTTAAGTAATATTTAGTTGAAAAGTTTATGTTTATTATTATTTCTCCTAATTAGTAACTATTGGAAACTCGAATATATATATATATATATAAGGTGGTAAAAAAATATGGGACCTTAGGCAACTTAAGCAGTTACCTAGCCCTGAGCCGGCTCTTTTCAAAACAATCGAACCTTTTATATTCACACTTCATATATATATATATATATATATATATATATTAATTGTAGAAATATCCTCTTAACCAAAACATATGCATAAACACCCCTAACTGACTGAACACTGTTAAATTTTTTTTATTTATAAAAGTGACCAAAATACTGAAATAAATCTTAAATTCTGGTAATTGGTCAAAGGGGGTCTTTTCGTAATTTAGTTGCAATTCAAGTAGTATATTTTATCACGTACTTCTTAAAAAAAAAAAAAAAAAGTGTATGGTGTGAATAAATAGCCTAGACTGATAAGACATGATTTTGAACAATGCGAGTGTTGTTTCCTCTTTATTTTGCTGTGATTTTTTAAGAAACTGGAACAATTACTACCATAAAATGCTTTTTTTTTTTAATTTTGAAAAATGATTAAACTACGATCAATATGCTTGATTAAAAAAATTATATATACACGCTTAAAACTTTTTGTTGTTTGGTTTAACATGGCAATAACAACTCAAATTAAATCCATCAATAAATTACTTGTACAATACAAGCATAACATTTGGTTTTAGAAATAAAAAAGTAAATTATTTTTTTGGTAGAAAATAACGAGATTTGCACTAAAAAATGTACTATCGAAAAAAGGTTTTATTCTCAGTCATCATATATGTATTAAAAATGATTTATTTTTCATATTTTTTTAATATGATGTGATTTTGATTAAATTTAGTGATAAAAACTGACCATATTAACAGCAAGATCTTATCAAAGAAAGACTTTAAAAATATGGGAGTTTCTCTAACAAGTTTAAGAAAATAAATTATCAGTAATTATATACTTTTTAATCGTTAAATTTATATTAAAATGATCTATTTTGTATATTTTTTTTAATTTAATATAATTTTAATTAACTTTAACGATTAGAAATTAATATTATCGGTAGAAATGCCTAACTGAAAAAAAATTTAAAAAGTAAAAGTCACATTTTTTATAATAAATAGAAGTGATTTGTTGGCTACTACACCGATGTTGATTAACCCGCACTAATTAGGTGATGAAGAGCTGGTTTCCGTTTGCCATTAACCAAAGGCTCACAACTCGAAAGATGTGAAAGAAGACATTACTCCGAAACTGATCAAGTACTCCGAATGATACCACTGAGGATCGTAGGGTATGTTTGGTTGGAAGGAAATAAGAGTCTGTTTGGTTCGTGAATTAAAATTATTTTTGATTTATGTGTGTTTTTTATGAGAAAAAATATTATAATAAACTATGAATTATGATTCGAATACGAGAATAAATCATCCAACTAAATGGGCTCTAAATGAAATAAAATGCTAAAGAATACAAGTATTTTGTTTGGTTCGTCTTGGAATCAATAATAGCCATTCGGTTGGAATGACTTTTTGCTGATTTTTAAAGAATCATCATTCCATTCCTTCGCGAGACCAGTGGAATGACAATTTCATAACATAATTAACATTTTTTTAATTCATTTTTGAAGTTTGAGCAGCCATGAAAACTGACAAACACCACCACCACCTCCATTCCTACGCCACTTCGACGATGACTTTTGGTGGCGCTCGTCTCTTCCCGCCGGCCAGATCTACTATCTTCTTGCCCAAATATGCAAGGTCCACCACCTCCATTCCTCCGCCCCACAGACTCCATCCTCTCCTCCGACGGAGTCTGCCACCTCCGCCTTGATGCTTAGCCCCTCCGAGCTCGTCACCGGCGCACAGCGTTGTACCTGATCAGCTCTGTCAGAGTTCTCGATCAACACAAAACTACCCACTCTTCCTCTGTTGAAGAATTGATGAATATAAAACTAGACTTACAAAATTTTCTCATCTTCCATGAGCAAGTCTTTTCCCTTTTTATTGATTTCACTCATGCCCAAGAAATTTTTCATGTCTATTCTCTCTAGGAGTATACAAAAAAACCGTAAAACCGAAACCGACCGCTTAAAATCGAAAATCACGGTGCCATGTGGAATCGAACACAATCAGTTCGGTTAACCGACCGACTTCCTCAAAAGTCAGTTCGGTTTCAGTTTTGCGTGTAGAGAGTCGGTTAAAAACTGAACCGACCGAGATGAGATTTTTTTTTATGTTTTCGTTTTGTTTTACTTATGACAATTTAAATGTTTTTTAAACTTGTGTTTGTGCAATTATCAATTTTGATGTTGTATTTTGTATTCATTTATTATGATTACGTGTTTGCAACTTTGCATTGAAGGAAAGTTTTACATTTTTTCGTACTTGCGGGTCAAAAATGCAATTAAAGATGCTGGTAACTTGATGGTTAACTGAGGTCATCTTCCTGATTACCAAAACTGAAAACCGACCAAAACCGAACCGAAAATGAAATTCGGTTAACCGAACCGAAAACTGTTAGGTGCGGTTCGGTTTCGGTTCCAACTTTTAGAAAACCAAAATGGTCGGTTCGGCCACCGAACCGACCAAAACTGACAGAAACTGAACCGATGAACACCCCTAATTCTCTCTATTATTTCTTTTGGAAGTTTACTTGAAACTTTTTAATAATTAGGCGTCGGTGTAGGTTGATTTAGAAGAGTGACCCAATATATATTGATTAGAATCATTAATTTTCAAATCTGAATTTTTTGGAATTGTTGGTGTTTATTTTGTGTATGACTGTGTGATTTTTCCGTTAGCAGTTAAAAAATAGTGAGGATAATTTTGTCCAAATAATTTATATCATAGTCCATTATGTAGTATCTACAAAATCCTAACCAAACACATACATCATCTCTCTTTTTCATTCTATTCCGTTACTATTACTATTATTATTCCTATTACTATTTCGCCACTGCAACCAAACACATATGTAGGTAATGGTGAGAATGTTTTTATTAGGTTTCTTTTGTCCATCTTTTTAAAATTTGATATTTCATAACTGTGCGTTGTTATCATGCTTTTTGTAAGAAATTAAGTGGACCTCCGCAAACTTTACAAAATAGAAAAGAGTTAAAACTAGTTGGATGGTCAATAAAAAATTAATTAAGGCTCCGTTTATTTCACCGATTCGAGTTTAGAATTCGAGTTTTGCTACAGTAAAAAGCTCTCAGAATCAATCACATCTAACTTTTTTGCTACAGTAAAAAACTCTCACATAAAATCACATCTCAACTCGAATTAAAAACTCGAATCAGCGAACTGAACAGACCCTAAGACACTTTTCACATATTCAGTGGTTCTTAATATTACTTGTTATAATTGAAAAAGTTAAGAGACGTAGGACCCGTTTAGTTCGCTGATTCGAGTTTAGATGTGATTTTATGTGAGAGATTTTTAATGTAACAAAAAAGTTAGATATAACTGTTTCTGAAAATTTTTTACTATAACAAAACTCAAATTCTAAACTCAAATCAGTGAAATAAACAGAGTCATAAAGTACACACTAAGATTTTATTTATTTGACTGATTTAATTTTAAAATTCAAATTTTATTATAGTAAAAAAATTTTAAAAATAATCACATTTAATTTTTTTATTATAATAAAATTTTTTTATATAAAATCATATGTTAATTTAAATTAAAAATTTAAATTACAAAATAAATGAATCATAAATTTTTTTTAGTGTAAAAAAAAAAAAAAACACTCTCAATGATGAGTCAATTGACATGTCACATCCCACTCAATTCATCCAAACCAAGCAAAATCCAAATCCATCGGACACGAGTCTTTTGAAGCAGAAAAAAAAACACCACATGGAGAAATGTGCAAGGACTACAACCATCCCCTCGTGTTCTCTTTTTTACCACATTGGTAATCCAGTCCTACGGTTATATCTTCTCCACGTGGAAATCCACCAACTCGGATGCATTTAATCCATTCGCACGCGCTCATTTCACGTCTTTTCACTGTACTTGACAACTTCATGGTTTCATTTTGTTTCTTCCAACAAAACTCCGGATGTGGGACAACATTTGTGGAAAATAATAGAAAGAAATTAAGCAGCCATTAAAGAAGCTCAAGGAGAAACTCCAAAAACTTAACAGTGTTGCATGCAGATGGAGAACGGCAATGTGGATCCACCAGAGAGCCCAATCTGCGGCCGACGATGCTCCAGTACTACTGGCACGAACGGCAGCGATCTGACCTTTTCTGGGTGTGATGGGAAACGTTTGTTGGACAACTCAGAGAGCTTTTATAAGAAGCTCTCTGAGTTGTACGAGTCATCTGGGCTCAACCTTGTGTAAGCCGTCTCTAGCCATTTGACTTTTCTACATTTGTTTTTTTGTATTTTTTTTTTTTGGTTGGTTTTTAGGTTTTCCCTTTTTTGGGGTAAAAAAATAAGATTTTTATGACGATATTCAGCTTGTTGTCTTGTTTGGTTGCTGAGAAATGTTGCGCGGAAAAAAGGAAAGGAAAAGGTGTTAACTCTAATCAAAAAGTTCATGACCTTTTTTTTTTTTGGTGGAAAAAAGTTCATGACTTGTTTGGTTATGCTATCTTACAAAGAAAATGTCCTTTATATTTTGGACAATTTAAGAGTGGTATTATGTTTTGGTCAATTTAAGAGTGGCATTATCTCGTTTCTAGAGCAAAAGTTTAGTAATAACTATAAAGTTACATTTTTTTTTTCTGTATAGAATCATGCCGACTGTTTTATTCATGTTTCTAGTCATCTTAAAAAAAGGAAAAAATAAATTTACCCAACATATATAGGCTTATCCAAACATTATTGTCAATCAGTTTTTTTTCCTGTAATTATTTTTTTCAACTGATCTTACTCCAATGCATGTTCTATAATCTTGGTTCCGATTGTTAATACCATCCACCAATTTTATTAACATATATATGTTTTTCGTTAAATGGCAGACTAAATGTCCGAGAGACATTAGTGAACTTGCATGTGTTGTACAAAGAAGTCACTATAAGAGGCGGATTTTACCAGGTTTGTTGTGTCTGACATTTGTCATTTTATTGAACTGCTCCTGAAGAAAGGTAGATATGTTAGAAAAAAATAGCGTTAGATGTAAAACATCTCTTAAAATTTAAGAAACATTCATGTGAAATTACCAAGAATTAACAAATTCACAGATTAATATGTAGAAACATATATGAATCTATGATAATTAATTACTCTCTAGAGCCGTGCGGTATGTCTTTCAGATCAACACGTTCTCTCAGAGAATCTTTTAACTTTCTCTTGTTATCTCTGATGATGAGATGTTAGAAAAGAATAGAATAATAATAATACGTATGATCTGAGGACTATAATTATATATAGATAACTTTTCTGTTATTTTTTAGTATTTCTATTTTAACCTATTATAAAAATAGAAATTATTCTTAAGTCTCTACACAGCTCACACCTTATTGGATAAATTAAAGTCTAAATGACTTAAATCTTAGTAGACACTTTAAATGGGCTTAATTTTACATGACAGTCTACAATACATAATTATTCATATATAAACCTAAGATTAAGAATCCAACAAGATACTCTCTGTCCTTTATTAAGAAAATAAATCTAGTGGATTAAATACTCTATAAATTTCCGAAAGATAAAGAAGACGGTCTAGTTGTGCATGCCAAAAAAAAAAAAAAAAAAGGTTAACTTGATTCAAATCTGTGCTTTGGATTTCTTTTTCCTTGAAAGCGTGTATTCTGATTTTCTAGTTACCACTGTGGGCCCATTATTATGTACGTTAATCTCTACATTATTTCCCCAAGAAGCCTGCCCTGAATCAGGAACAGAGGAAATTTTGGAGATAATTTTTAAGACCATGATTGTTTTTTTTAGATGTTTTATTATATAAGGTATTTCCCAGGTTACCAAAGATAAGCGATGGGAGGAAGTTGCAATTGCCCTAAAATTGGAAGGCATCAAAATGAAGTTCCCTAGTCAACTTCAAAACGTTTATGCGCTCTTCCTTTTCCAGTTTGAGCAAATTTACTTCTACAGAGCACCTGAGAAAAAAGCTTCTGATCCAGGTGTACAAAGTTTCCTTCCATATATATTTATAGTTATTTGGATTTTGATTAACTTACTTTCAAGGTAATAAATATAAAATAATTTGGTTTGATATAATTTTGTTTTTATGCAACTTGTTTGCAACGGATCCGGGGGACTACACTTTGCTTAGGATCTTTAGAATAGGTTTTGCAGGTCATGTTTTCAGTACTCTGGGGAATGGCTCAATGCTGAAGCGGAAGAATTCCGGCAATTTATCTCCGGTGTTAAAAGATGAAGAAAATGTTCAAGTGAAGAAGAAGAAGATATTCAAAGACAACTCTCGTCAATCGGTCAAAGGTCTGTTATTATTGTCATGTTGATAATTTACTCTTGATGATATAAGGTCTTGCGGGAGGAAAAAAGAACGAAAACCATGCATGTGTTTAATTTACTCAACGTCTACATTTCTCAAAATGATGAGAAACTCTTTTCAGAAGAATCTAAAGCCTCGGTCATTTCACTTATTCGAGTTTTCAATTCTAATTTTGCTACAATAGACATCCCAACTGGAATGGCACCTAAACCTCAACCCATACCAATTACAAAAGTCCCGCACTCAATAAAATATAAAAGACAATGATTCGAAATAAAGTGGGCAATCTTTCTATACAATTTGTTCATAAGGACTCGAGAAGTTTGGTATGCTATCTTGCTTAGGTGTCGTTCTTAAAGTGTGGCCTTTTTGCTATATTGAGGTTGTTTTCTAGTTAACGCAAGGGGCCTTTAATATATCATAGTAAAGACTGCACGTCTGCACCATTTACCAATTTTGCACAAATTCAAATAGGAAGAACCGCGGAACAGAAATTATCCCCCCTGACGCCCTCAAAACCCAAGGAAACAAAGAGCAGCCCTGGTCGCCCTCGGCAAATACGAACTGCATATCAAATCTTTCTCAAGAGAGAATGTGAACGGCTGAAAGGAACAGATGGGAACAAGCTAAAAGCTGGCCAAAGTTATAGAGCCATGGCGGATTATGCATGGAGGAACCTCTCTGAAACTGACCGGCAGGTATCTCAGATACTCTTTGAAACAGACATTGACCCTGATTCATTAGAGACAACACTTTGTAATTAATTGTCAATATATATATATATATATATATATGCAGTTTATAAAGGCATTCTTCCTTTAATCTATTTATACCATTGAAAGTGTCTAAAATCTTTTTGGTCTTGTTTTTCTTTTTGTCCTGGTTTTGTAGCCATACATTGATGAAAGCAACAATGACAAGGAAACGTATTCACAACAAATGGATGCTTCCAAGGATCACAATGACAACGGAGATAATGAGACCAAGAACAACCCGGTGCCAGAGGGTGACTATCACGTCAAGCCTGAATTCGAGAAACCCCAATTGCCCGACCAATCCGCGGTTGACGAGCAGTGCATATCATGAAGAACTCTCCCGAATCGGATGACCTCATACTGCAAAATGACACGTAGTTATAAATCTTGACAGTTCTTCTGTGATGGGAAGTGGATGTAAATATATCAGATAATAGACTGTCTTAACTTGTACCCTTTAATGGCAGCTCTTTTGTATTATGCTTTCGTCTTATGTTTTCGGTTTGTAAAAATGTGCTTAGAAATTGGGCTGCTAGAATTCTGCATTTTTTTGAAGTTTTTTAGCAGAAAAAAGGGTACGAGAGTTTTTGGAGTACCATCACTAGGCCATGTAGTGTTGTATTGTAGCTATGTTTGCATTGCTTGGTTTTGAATTGACAAAATGGTTTGATAGAAATTCTCACGGACGCTAGTAATCTGGATGAATTTTATGTTAAAGATAATACACATGGAAAGCTCTAGTGCCCTAAAAAAATCTAGAGTAGATTTTTCCTAGTTTTTTCATACTGAAATTTTATAAATAAAATCCTCAAAAAAAATTTAAATAAATGTGGTGAACGGTACATTAGTATTGTTTTCCCTTCTCAAATAAGAACCTTAATCATTAAAAATGAAAATAAGGGCTTTCTTAAGTGATTTAATACTAGGATGAAGAATCATTTTCACTTTTTAAAACACAACAAATAAGAAATAAAAGTATGTCCGTGTGCTCAAAATAATCTAGGAATAATTTTTTTTATAGCACTAAAATAAAGAAGGATTTCAAAATAATACTGGTTTGCAAGGTTTGTCAAAATGGTTATCTTATAAAGTTAGATCTGCCAAGTGATATATTTTTTAAGATAAGTTAAATTAGCAAAATGATATTTTTTTTTTTTGCTTTTATATTTATTTTTATAGTGAGCACACTCGGTCACGTGGTGTAAAAAATTATCGTGCTAAGCTATCCAAAAATCATTTAATGAATTAATTTTTTAAATAATTATTTTACAATTAAAGCTTTTTACGAAAATTATTTTTATAAATGAAAATTATTTTTTTAGAAGAACTCGTTTGGTTTTGCTTACTTTTTTTTTGGTCACAGTCATATTATAACAATAGTAATTTTTTGTAATAATTATTAGTGTTACCGTGACATTAAAATAATAAATTTTAGTGTTGTTCTTAAAATATTTTTTTAATTATTAAAGTTTATAAAAAAAAAGGGGTAACGCTACACGGAGCCATTTTGTAATAATGACTTAATAAAGTGGAATAACTTTTCAAATATTTTCATTTGTAAATTAACTACAGAGCGGGAACAACTATTTTTTCAACCGAATAAGGGTTTGTTTAGTGGGAGATTTAAATTAAGGTAATTTTAATATTATTTTGAAATTAAAATTATGATTAATGACTTTGGGTTTAAATTATAATTTTGAAATTATGATTTAAAATTAGATGTTTGAATCACCTTAAATTAAGAGAGGGATGGTTTTAGAATCATAAGTGATTCTGGTTTAAAACATCACATTAGATTTTGAATCATAATTTAAAATTATAACCAAATACTGATTCTAAATCATGATTTAAAATCACTGTAAATAAATATTAATTCTAAATCAGGATACAAAATCATAATTATAGATTCATCGACTAAAATATTGCTCTTTGTAAAAATGAAAAAGACCAGTTTGTTAATTTCACCTTTGAGAGTATTCATTTTAGCGAATTCACATCCCTTGGGGGGTCACAATGTTAGATGCTAATAGTTTTTCACTTGAGCATAGGCTGTGTAGTAGTCTAATAAGCAATACAACGAATGGCAGGGACAAGATGAACCCAACAACCATCACCACCACAAATCTCCCTTATCACTTCAAACCAACAGAACTCTCAACAGAAACCATACCCACCTCCAAACTCTCTCAAAAAACAATCTTGGATCTCATAAACACAAAATGCTCCAATTCTCTACACTATCTAAAGCAAGCCCACGCCTTAGTTCTAAGGTCAGGCCACTTCCAAGACCACTACGTATCAGGAACACTTCTCAAACACTACGCAAATCCCCACCTCAGAAACTTTGCTTTTGCATTCAAGGTGTTCGATCATGTGCCGAGGCCAAACGTTTTTGTATGGAACATTCTGCTCCAAGGGTGTTTAGATAACAACGAGCCGTTTTTGGTGGTGTCGTTTTATGAAAAAATGATGGCTGCGAATTGTAGGCCTAATAAGTTCACCTTCCCTGTAGTGTTCAAGGCCTGCACAATGGTGCAGGCTGAAGAGGAGGGTGTGCAAGTCCATGCCCATGTTGTGAAACATCGGCTTGGCAGAGATGGACATGCAAAGAGCTCCGGTATTCAGATGTATGCCTCGTTTGGTCACTTGGAGGCTGCTAGGCGGATGCTCAATGATGAGATCGATGTTGTTTGTTGGAATGCGATGATCGATGGTTGCTTCAAGTTCGGTAATGTTGAGGCGGCTAAGGGAGTGTTTGGGGAGATGCCGAGTAGGAATGTCGGTTCTTGGAACGCGATGATAAGCGGTTTTGCAAGGTGTGGGATGATAGAGACTGCAAGAAAGTTCTTTGATGAAATGAGTGAAAGGGATGAGATATCTTGGAGTGCTATCACGAATGGTTATATCAAAGGAGGGTATTTCAAGGAGGCCTTGGAAGTTTTCTATTTGATGCAAAGGGAGGGAATTGGGCCCAGAAAGTTTATATTGTCAAGTGTGCTGGCTGCTTGTGCCAATGTTGGAGCACTTGATCAAGGAAGGTGGATTCATGCCTATGTTGAAAGGAATTTGATTCGAGTGGATGCGGTTTTAGGGACTGCGTTGTTGGATATGTATGCGAAATGTGGGAGGCTCGACTTGGCGTGGGAGGTTTTTGAGAACATGAGATGGAAAGAGACTTTCACCTGGAATGCCATGATTGGTGGACTTGCTATGCACGGCAGGGCAGAGGACGCCGTGGAGCTTTTCTCAAAGATGCTGAAAAACAAGCTGAAACCGGATGGGATTACCTTTGTGAACATCCTAAATGCTTGTGCCCATGGAGGTCTTGTTGATAAAGGTCTAAGGATCTTCAGCTCCATGAAGAAATTGTATGGTGTTGAGCCAGAAATTGAGCATTATGGGTGCGTTGTTGATGTCTTGGGAAGGGCAGGATTACTTACAGAAGCAGAGGACTTTCTAGGATCAATGCCGGTGAGACCAAATGCAGCTGTGTTCGGGGCGCTTTTAGGTGCTTGCAGGAAACATGGAAATGTTGAGTTGGGGGAGATAGTGGGAAAGATTTTGCTTAAACTAGAACCGGAGAATAGTGGGCGTTATGCGCTATTATCGAATATCTATGCAATGGCAGGAAGAAGGGAGGATGTGGAAAAGGTGAGAAAATTGATGAAGGAAAGGGGAGTAAAAACAAATCCTGGGATTAGCATGATTGACATAGATGGCAAAATTCATGAGTTCAAAATGGGTGAAGGTTCTCACCCACAAATGAAGGCGATCTACTTGATGTTGGAAAGGATCATGGAGAGGCTGCAGATGGAAGGTTATTCGCCGGATACATCCCAAGTTTTGTTTGATATTACAGAATAAGAGAAGGAAACTGACTGCAATACTATAGTGAAAAGCTTGCCATTGCTTTTGGCCTCCTAAACACGAAGCCGGGAACAACAATTCAAATAGTGAAGAACTTGAGGGTCTGTGAGGACTGCCATTTTTCCATGAAGCTCATTTCGAAGATATATGACTGTGACATACTTGTGAGAGACCGAGTTCGGTATCATTATTTTAGAAACGGAACATGTTCATGTATGGATTTCTGGTAAGTTTTTGACAATGTTGCTGTGTAAATCTTGTTGATTATACCTTGAACTTGTTAGACACTCAGCAAGCCAAGAATACAGGATTTTCCATGTAATGTGAAAAATTTTAGCTGCTCTTAAACTTCCCTTAAACACATCTTTATACATTATAATCATATATAGTTCTTTATTTTAACATGTAGTGCTTGTTTAACACAAACTTATTTACTTAATTACTAAACTATGACTATACAACATGAGTGACAAAACCCATATTGAGTTCCAAATGTACTTATACTTCTATGCACAGCACTGTACCCAAATGGGCCAAATCCAGTTTTTATATTTTAATCACACTAGATCCAGATTTACAATCTTCCTTATTAATCAGCAGCTCAGCAAGGTGATTTGATCTTGCAACCACTTGTGTAAACATGGTGGGAATCTGTTGTTGAGCCTGAAGGATTGCTAGAATTACCATAACTTTCATTGTTATCATCATTGGTAGCAGTAGAGTTTTGGATGGAATTCTCTTTGTTGCCTGAGTTCACTTCCTCCAAGAGTAGCCTTTTGGCATCACTTTGAACACAAAGTGATGTTGTTACAATAGCAATTAGCACATGTCCTGTCTTCATCATTGACCTATGCTTTAACCTTAAAAAAAAACCAAGAATAAAATTTTACTAGTAGCACTTATAGTTGTGACATGGACCAGTTTGAGATTGCTTTTATTAGAAAACTTAAGCAACAATTATCTATTGTCTTAGAAAGCAACTTTCATGTATAACACTTTCCACGATAATTTTGAGAAGCTAAAAGTTCTAGCTTTATGCTTTAAGAAACTATTTAAGAATTAGAAGCACAATAATACCAAACTCGCTTAGAATTAAACTAAAGAAAGTGAACTTTTCTTTCCCTGTCTGTCTTCTCTCGTGCAATTCAATCGAGATTATTCGAATCCGGGGGAAAGAATTTATAGAATGAGAAAAGCTTACGCTTATTGCTTAATCATGAGTAATGATATGGTAAGAATTGAATTTGGGCACTATGAACTATGAAGTGTCAAAATATAGTGGAGGGCACGGCCAACTAAAGTAGAAAACGTGGATAAACTCACAAAAGTGAATAAAAAAATCTAGTTGTTTTCCACAGTGGACTGAGGTTTATTACATGGCGTTATTTGCAGTAGAGTTTAATTATGTTTCCGTTATTGGGTTCAAGAAGTGCGAGCTGTTTCTGCACACAGTGTTCTTCACTATAAGAAATGCAAGCCATGAGTAAGTGATCGGATGATGACACAATTGTGTCATTAGTTAATGTAATATAAATCTTAAAGGTGTATCAAAGGTAGATATTGCAAGAGAAAATTGTTAAAGTTACCTTTAGAGTGCATAGTATAAATTTTTACTCTTTACTCTTGATTAATATCTTTTTAATTAATATATTTATTTGATTAAAAAGATATTAATTAAGAGTAAGTGAAAAAATTTTAGACCCATACTGTTAAAAAGGTATTTGTGTACTTTTTCTGTGTTAAACGTCTGTTTCTTTGGAAAAACAAGCCTTTGTCACAACACAAGTCCATGGGCAAACGGAAAACTCAACACAAGCACAAGGACCTTTGGGTTCTTAGGCCTACCATCTATGTGTAGGAGTTTAAACTGATTTTTTTTTCTTGAATGAACTTGGCTGAGATTCAGTTCCAAGATTCTATTTTGAAGAGGTTGATAGCATTGATAATCATTTTTGTACAAGACCCCATCAAAATTTCGTACTGTGATGTAAATTTATCCTGTGTGGGTCATCTAGTGAGCCACGAGTAATAAAACGGGCTCCATCTATTTTTAGTCCAATTGAGTCTCAAATCCCACTTGACTTGAGAAGTTTTAAAGAAAGAGGGAAATAACATATTTAGTAGGGTGTTTAATAAATATAACATATTTATTTTTTTAAAATAGGTAGATAATAGCGTTGTTTGATGTTTTAGGTTTCAAACATTATTAAAAACCTAAAAAATACTCATAAATCTCCTTTCCACTTCTCTCATTCCATCTCCAGTCAAGTCCACCAAGGCCGACGCTGGCGACTAGTGACGGCGACCGATAAATACTGCATTTATTAGAAATACCGTATTTACTGATAAATACCGTATTTACTAAAAAATATTATATCAACATGTAAATATCATATTCGCCCATAAATTCGGTCGTTGAAATATGGCGAATAGTAAATACTGTATTTATCGGTATATTTACTAATAAATAACGCATATACTCATAATACCATATTAATCTGACAATTCAGCCGCCGATCTCAATGACTGGTAAGTATTGTATTTACCGGTTAATATCATATTTTATTTACTCATAAATACTATATTGATCCAAAAATCTGGTTGTTAGAGACGACTCTCAGTGATGGTATTTTCATGGTGTATCAAATTTATAAACCTCGCTAAGATATATCATGATGAGTATAGTGATTGAGTAGGGATCGTTCCCGCAGAGTATTAGGTTTAATTAATAAGTTATTAATCTTGTGAAATAATAAAATAAACAAGGGGATTTAAATAACTAACTAAACTAAATAAAATAAAAGAACATAATACTTGAAATAAACAAAGAAGAAAACAATAATAACAAAACATTGGTCAAAGGATCATTCTCCACTTCTAGACAATGAAATCATAATGAATATGCAATATTATCTCCAATTTCCTATAAAAACTACAAACTGTAGATAGCAACAAGCTCTGCTACCCCAATCTTTTCTTAGTTCGTCGTTAAGCAAAACAAGCTCTTTACTTAATCCATTTCCCTCAAACAACCTAGAACAAGCTCTTTAGATTTAATCCAAAGGAAGCATCACGATGAGAAAGATAGGTTGATCTAAGCAATAAACACACAAGCTCAGAATATTTAACTTAGGTTAAGATAATTACGAATCAAGACTCCTAATCTTGCAATAGAATATTCTCAAGTCCTATTTAGTTGGCCACCCAAACAAAATAAGAAAATACTCATACACATTAATATTGGAAGAACATAAATAATTTCAATAGAAAACCGGAAAATAACATCATAATATCCATCACAAATCCATGTCTAGGGTTTTGAAATCACCCTTAATCAAAACAAAACCTAACCTAACATAATTGAGAAATAAAATAAAAACTAAAGAAAAGGAAGAGAATGAAATAAAGAACTAGGATTATTCTTTAAGAATCTCTATTTATAGATTTAGGATGGTCATATATAGAATGATCTTAATTCTGAGTTCTTAGCAGACTCCTATTTATGAATTTGTGTTTTTAATTTACTCGGTACGGATTCTGAGATCCTGAGTCCTATTTCTTGTATTTTAGAGACGTGATGAAGTGAGTAGCCGGCAATGTTAATATACGGTATGGAATCCATTCCTTCTTGAGAAAGAAGTAAATAAATAATTCTCTTGAGGGTTGATTTGGTACTTGGACCAGTAGGAGTGTTCTGATTCATGAATTTATTTTATAAATCACTGCCCATTAGAGAATTAATGGTACTCAAAGATAAATATGTAATTAGAGACGTTAACGGATTTCACCTAGCTCTAATTATGAATTATTTATGGATGATTGATCTATATGCAATGACTATATCAAATAGACACTTCACAGTTTAGAAGTAATTTATGTCTATAATTACGAGAGTGCAATTCCAAGTTTAGAGTGGAGTAACTATTAGAAATTTAGAATAAATAGAACTAATTAATTAATTAAAGAGTTTAATTAATTATTAATTTTATTAGAGCTCGAAATTATAGGTCCATGAATCCTCATGTCGTCCTTGTAATTCTATAAGACACTAAGGGCAAAATGAGAATTTTAGAATTATAAAATTTTAAAATATAACACTCAAAGATAATCAATTGAGAATTAATTATAAATTAAATAATGTGAGTATTTAAATTTAAATTTAAATTTTAAAACACACATGTGAAGATGTTCACATAGTGTAAACACACAACACAGTGTGAATCCCTTTAGGATTCAAATTGTTTTCTCTCCATAGTTATCCAATTAACTAATTTGATAAGTCGTCCAATCTAAAATTCAAATTGATGTAAGTTTGATTTAAATTGGAATTTGAATTTGAGTTAAAATTGACATGTGAATAAGGGTGAGAGATTTTGTTTCAAAATCAAATTTGAAGTTGGAGATAATTATCAAACTTTATCTTGGAGATAAAGATTAGACTTTTTCTGGGAGTCTGATTACTACTCTATAAATAGGAGATTGTAGAAAATTAGAGAATATAATTTTTTGCTCTACTAAGTGTTAGTGGCCGGTTTTCTATAGAGAGTGGGAAAGAAAAATTTTTCTCCAAAAAATTTCACGTCGTTCATGTGTTGGTGTTCGTAGAAACCTTGAGTGTTCTTGCTAATCCCGTTTTGTTTTAGGTGTGCCCACACACACGTTCTTTGTAGATTCAAGGAATTGATGAAGAAGATTCGGGTGTTCTAAACTAGCATTGGAGCGAGGAACGTTCGAGGTAAAAGAATATAAGTTATCATCCTAATCGGTTGCTAGGTATAATTCCTAATCTGGTTCTTGGTAAATAAATTAATGTGATCAATTTATTCGTCCATAAGTTAATATAATCTTTAGAGTATGTCAAATATTTTATGAAAATTTTTGTTATATACGATATGCTACTCATACGCATCCGCATCCGAAATTATTTCAGAAACCAACACTGGCATCCTCCTCTAATGATTTGGCTAGCGGATCACTGGACTGATTGTTTGGGTAACCGACTGCGCTGACGGCTAGCGGCTGAGGGCTCGTTCAGTTTGCTAATTTGAGTTTTCAATTCGAGCTAAGATGTGACTTTATGTGAGAGCTTTTAACTTTAACATAAAAAGTTAGATGTGACTTTTTGTGAGAACTTTTAACTGTAGTAAAACTGAAATTAAAAACTCGAATCGGTGAAATAAACAAAATTTGATTTTGACAACTGAAATCTTAATCTAACCCCACTATCCAAGACGTATGAAAACTCGTGTATGATGAGAAATGATGAACGAAATTTGACCGCAACATATTTGATAACGTTTTTGTTAGCTTTGGACCTCAACACTATTAATTTTAAAGTTTAAGTTACATTGTGCAAACAAAAATGAGGAGTGCAACAATACAATTCACACGAATTGAAAATAATCCATAAAACAAAATGAAAGAATTTCCTTCCAATTCAAATCAAAACCATAGAAATCGAAATTTCCCTCGTACCACAAACAAATCCCGAAATGACAAACAAACCAAATCTCACAAACACGAAAACCTTACAAATTGGAAGCGCAAATTCGTCCAGACGAGACGCCCACAATACAACGAAGTTCCTTCCCCGCCACTCAACCAGTATCAGTTAGCTCTCCTTGCTCGCTCAGACCACCATGGCTGCGAAGCTCGTCTCGCCTCCTTCTTCTCTCTCGCACTCGGCGAAGCTCTTCTCCTTCTCTTCCAATTGGAAGGTTCCAAAGCCTATTTCGCTTCCGAGCTATCTCCGCCAATGGAGGTCCAAAAGCTATTCGCTTTCGCGGAGAATGGCTGTGAAATCTTGCATCGGAGTCGCCACAAAATCTAGGGCTGAAGATTGGGGGAAGGTGTCCGCCGTCCTGTTCGACATGGACGGAGTGCTCTGCAACAGCGAAGAGCCTTCTAGAAGGGCCGCCGTCGACGTCTTCGCCGAGTTGGGGGTCGACGTCACGGTCGAGGACTTTGTGCCGTTCATGGGGACTGGTAGGTTGATTTGAACTGTCGAATTGTTTTTGATTGTTGATTATATGATGAATTGGCGTAGAAATGGTTGAGTAGTGGGCGAAACATGAGAAATGAGGTTCTAATTGAATCTTTGGTGAAACTATTAGAAATGTTGTATTGAAGTTTCTTGTCATTTAACTATGTGCCTAAGAATGGGTTAACGGAAGTGGGAGAGGTTATTAATGGCTCTTTTATTTACTATAATGCTTACCATTTTATGGGTTGCACAAGGATTAAGCATTGTGAAAAAACGAAAACTCGCATCGGCTCGTTGTGTGGCTCAATCTGTTGACCCCAGTTTGGTTAGTAAGCATAAAGAATAATGATGTGTTAGCTAGGATTGACCCCGGTTTGGTTACTAAGCATAAAGAATAATGATGTGTTAGCTAGGATGGTCTTTGTGCTGGTTGTCCAATTATAAAAATTTTGTAGTAACTTATGCTTAGAGCAAAAAGTGTTTTAGTTAATTTGGAGCAGAATTAGAGAAGAAATCTTTTAATGTACTAGGTGCACTCTTTTAACTCGAACATTTGTCGCTTTCCATAATCCTGTTCTCTTTTGCATCCATATACCAGGTGAAGCGAACTTCTTAGGAGGGGTTGCTTCTGTTAAAGGTGTGCAAGGATTTGATCCTGAGGCAGCCAAGAAGAGGTTCTTTGAGATATATTTGGAAAAGGTTATTTGTATTTGTTGATATGACAAAGACCATTGCTTGAGACTATATGTTGTAATGCAATTAATTTTTAGTTTCAGGTGGTTACTTACTCCCTAAATTTCCCCTCTTGCAGTATGCAAAAACAAATTCAGGAATAGGATTTCCAGGTGCCCTTGAGCTGATTACTCAGGTATACAATCCAAGATGATGAATTATGGCAAAATGATGTCACAACCTTGTGGAAGCATTTAATGATATACTCTAGCACACCGATGTTTAACAGTGTAAAAGCAAAGGCCTTAAAGTTGCTGTTGCATCTAGTGCTGATCGGATCAAGGTAGACGCCAATCTGGCTGCCGCTGCTTTACCATTGCCAATGTAAGCCAACAGCATAAAAGAAATCTTCCCTGATTTCTGCTTTATGCTTATCCACATGTTGCTTCTTCGGCCATGGAAATTGCATCATGGTCTAGTAGGCATAGTATAGTGATCAGAACTTGTAGTGTCAACTATAAGAATCTCCAACCACACTGTTAGGTGAACACTCTTAAGATGTTAGTTCAAGTTGAATTCTGTTTTGGGTAGAATTGGAACGAGAAACATGAGACTCAAAGAACTTGGGAAATAGGCTTTAATGGTAAATAAACATATCTATATATGAGATGGAACAAATGACCAGAAAGATGCAAAAGAATTTGGGTTTGGTTTGGAGTGTATACTTCAACCATATTTATGAGACTTAATTCTATTATTCATTTGCAGGAACAAAAATGTTCTAATATTTGTTTTTCTTTCCATCAGGTTCAATGCTATTGTGTCAGCAGATGCCTTTGAAAACCTGAAACCTGCTCCTGATATTTTCTTAGCAGCATCGAAGATCTTAAATGTGCCCACTAGTGAGGTATACTGCTATAGCCTTCTTAGTTTCTTTTCTGATAAGAAAATTGTTCAATACATGTTTTAAACTGAAGAGTAAGGAATATTGTTCAATACACGTTTTAATTGACCGGCTCTTAATTTCACCATGTTGGCAGAAGTCATAGCTGTTTACAGCTGTTAGAATCCTTGATTATGTGGGCCGATTATGTCGGATCAATGGGCTGTCATTTTTTGTTTCCCTGCACAAATGCACAAAGGGTCACAACCTTTTTCTCTCATACATAGTGATATTTGGGGGCCTTTTGTGTTGATAATGTTTCTGGGGCTAGGTGGTTCATCACCTTCATTGATGATCATGCTCATGTAAGTTGGGCCGATTTACTCAAATTGAAATCTGAAGCAGCAATCCTTTTTCAAAATTTCCATCAAATGATTAAGACTCAATTTCAAGCCAACCTTCAAATTTTTCGAATAGATAATGGGAGAGAATATTTTGCCTCAATCCTTAGGTCCTATTTGATAGGTCATGGAATTGTACATTGTAGTTCTTGTGTTAATAAACCCCAACAAAATGGGGTTGCTGAGAGAAAAAATAGGCATCTTTTTGAGGTTGCTAGAGCCTTATTGTTTACCATGGGAGTTCCCAAGAGTTTTTGGGGTGAAGCCGTTCTTACTGCAACGTATCTTATCAATAGAATACCATCAAGGATCTTGAATTTAAAAACACCACTTGACACTCTCAAAAAGAATATCCATTACCCAAACTTTTTAGTTCTCATCCACCACCTAAAGTTTTTGGTTGTGTAGCATTTGTTCACATACATGATCATAAAAGAGGAAAATTAGATCCAAGGGCTCTTTGTTGTGTTTTCTTAGGTTATTCTCCAACTCAAAAGGGGTATAAGTGTTATCATCCTCCTGCAAGAAAATTCTTCGTCTCTGTGGACGTCACCTTTTTTCAAAACAGTCATTTCTTCACCAAAACTTCTCTTCAGGGGGAGAGTCAATGTGATAGACAACATGATGAAGATCAGTTTTGGTCTCCTATTATCAATTCATTACTGTTGCCCAATACCATTCATGAGTCATCTATTGTTGCCGAGTCGTCTCCATTTATTGTTCTTGTGGAAATATCCGATCCCTGATTACAAGGATCTTACAGCAGTTGACTATGTAATTTAGGAATAAACGGATTTGGGATCTTTCTTAATATCTCTATTAGTTAGTTTCCTATTTAGTTAATTTCCTATTTAGTTAATTTCCTAATTTTGTGTAAATTAGCTTTATTGTTACCGGATATAGTGAAAGGGCTGTTATTCCTTTCATTATATATAGAGTTGTACATGAACCTTTATTAAAATAGAGATTCCAGTATTCATCTCTAAAACCATCATGGTATCAGAGCCGCTTCTGATCTAGAAATAGATGATGAAATACGGAATGACTATAAGTCGGCAAAGTCAATCCACGTCTGAAGTCACTTCTCCTCCCGAAGTTGTATCCGCTGGCAACAATGGAGGATTTGATGGTCATATTCTGTCCATTACAGGGCACAAACTCAATGGCCAAAATTATATTCCGTGGTCACAATCCGTAATGATGTCGTTTGCGGAAAAGGAAAAGATGACTACCTCACTGGAGTGGCAGCCCCACCGAAGGAAGAAGACCCGAAGTACAGAACATGGTCATGTCCTGGCTCATCAACTCCATGACCAACGAAATTGGAGAAAATTTCCTATTGTACGGGTCTGCAACGGAAATTTGGGACACAGCCAAAGAAACGTATTCTGATTTTGATAACTCATCCGAATTGTTTGTTGTGGAAAGTATCCTCCATGATCTGCGTCAAGGAAATCTCTCGGTAACCCTATATTTCAACGCCCTCACACGAAATTGGCAGCAGTTAGATATGTTTGAAGAACACGATTGAAAATGCCCTGATGATGGGATTAAATACATTATAATCATTGAGAAGAAAAGACTTTATAAGTTTCTGTTGAGGAAGAATCATGGGGTAGAAACCACTACCCAGCATTTGAGAGGCTTTTTCAGAAGTTCGTAGGGAAGAGAGTTGAAAGAAAGTGATGATGGGACCTTCGACTACTACTCACAACCTTGAAGCTTCTACTCTTATTGTTTAGGGGTTCTCAACATCAAACCGGAGATACCATACCAAGAAAAGGATGACCTTGGTGCGATCACTGCCGTAAACTTGGTCACACAAAGGAAACATGCTGGAAAATCCATGGAAAACCCACGTATAGGAAACCCTCACAATCAACCAACAACAGAGAAGGGCGTGGAAACCCGGTCTCCAGTGAAGAGAACCCCCCAAAAACTGAGCAGAACCTATTCAACAAGGAGCAAATGGAATTCCTACAAAAGCTGATCAATCCACAACGCCTTAATACCTTAGTGATTGGAACTGGATCATTAACCCACAAAGGTAATTTCTTAAACACTCTCAAGGCAACAAGAGAGACAAACAGACCGTGGATTGTGGATTTAGGAGCCTCTGATCACATGACTGGAGATGCAGGGTTATTAATACTTATAGTCCTTGTCATGAAAATTTTTCTGTCAGAATTACAGATGGATCACTCTCAAGGGTCATAGAAAAAGGCTCAGGGTCATAGAGAAAGGCTCTGTGGTTGTGTCAAAGAACCTTACCTTAAACTCTGTACTCTTAGTCCCGAATTTGGATTGCAATTTACTATCTATTAGTAAACTCACTCACGAGCTTAATTGTGTTATTAAATTTTTTCCAAACTCATGTGAATTTCAGGACCTGGATTCGGGAAAGATGATTGGCAATGCTGAGATGTGCTCGGGACTCTATATCCTTAAGGTTGATGATCTACCAGAGCAACAACCTCACAAGGCAGATTCGGATAAATCAAATCAGCAGCCTGCAAAATTTTCTTGTTTTGTTTCTCGTTCCAATAATGATAGTGCAGTCATGTTATGGCACTATAGGTTAGGTCACCCAAACTTTGTATACCTTTAAAGACTTGTTCCTTCATTATTCAGTAATAAAAGTCCAAAAGATTTTCAGTGTGAAATTTGCCAGTTTGCTAAACATACCCGTAGTTCATACTCAATTCAACAATACTAAAAATCTAATTCATTTTCAATGATACATAGTGATGTCTAGGGACCGTCACGGGTTAAAAACATTACGAGAACTCGATGGTTTGTTTTGTTTGCGGATGACCACACTAGGATCACTTGGGTGTTTCTCATGAAAGAAAACTCAGAAGTTGGGCAAATCTTCAAAAACTTAAATATTATGATTCAAATCCAATTCCACACCAAAATACAAATACTTCAGACTGATAATGCCAGAGAATACTTCAAACACTTTCTCGGAGATTACCTACAAAATCAAGGCATCATACACCAAAGTTCATTTGTTGATACTCCTCAACAAAATGAAGTGGCAGAAAGGAAAAATAGACACATCTTAGAGGTTGCCAGGTCACTCATGTTTTCTACCCATGTCCGAAAACACTTCTGGGGGATATTTGGGGACCTTCACGCATCTCAAGCATTACCAACAAAAAATGGTTCATTACCTTTACTGATGATCATACACGTGTTTGTTGGGTTTATCTTCTAAAAGAAAAATCTAAGGCTGATGGTATTTTCAAACAATTCCATTCCATGGTTAAAACACAATTTGATGGGAACATTAAATTTTTAAGAACAGATAACGGGACTGAATTTTTCAAAAACTCTCTGGGAGAGTTTGTCACTACTAGTGGGATAATTCATCAAAGTTCCTGTGTTAGCACACCTCAACAGAATGAGGTATCTGAAAAGAAAAATCGTCACATTTTAGATGTGGCTCGTTCCTTGTTGCTTACAGCCACCTTACCAAAAGTTTTTTGGGGGAATGCAGTTTTGACCGCTACCTATCTGATTAATAGGGTACCCTCTCGTGTCTTAAAGTTTCAAACCCCAATAGATTGCCTATACAAGTCGTACCCACAATCATGGTTTCCATCTTCGTTAGAGCTAAAAGTGTTTGGTTGTGTTGCCTTTGTACATAATCTTGATCCACATCGGGGCAAATTGGATCCTAGGGCTCATGTGCATTTTTTTGGGATACTCTGTGACTCAAAAAGGGTATAGATGCTATTCAGTAGAGAAAATAAAATATTGTGTCTAGGGATGTGACATTCCTTGAAAATCAACCATTTTTTACCAAAAATTCCCTTCAAGGGGAGAGTGTGGGAAGACAATTTTTGGAAAAAATCAAAACCGACTTCCATCTCAACATCAAATGATTCAAATGTGTGGGAATTCTTTTGGGATTTTGCCCTTTCTTTGGAAACCCAAAGTCATATCCCTTCAAATACGCCAAAAAATGTTCAAAAAACAGGAAATCAAGAGGAAAATCCAGCCAACATTTCAGAAATAAACCCACTAGATATCCCTGAAATTGATCGTGAAGTCTTTCCCGAATCAACTCCACATGTTCTTACTCAATCCATTCCTTCAAATCAGATCCTAGAGCAACCTCTTGATGACCCAAAAAATTCGGTATCTATAGTGCAAGAACATAATAAAAACAAAGAGAGTGGCTTGCAATTTTTTGATCGAACTTATGTACGCAAGAACCAAAAAACCGTAGAAAGCCAGGAAGTTCCTCGCCACCAAGAATCGGAACCGATGACAGGTCTTGAAGCGAAGACTAGTTACTTAGAGATCCCAATTGCATTGAGGAAATGAGTGAGATCCTGTACGATCTGATGGCCCATTATGTTGGATATGATCATCTGACAAACTCTATGAAAGCTTTTGTAGCTAATTTGGCTAGTGTGGAAATCCCAAGAGATATCCAAGAAGCTATGAAAAAGTCTGAATGGAGGCAAGCCGTTTTAGAAGAATTGAGAGCTCTTGAAAGGAACAATACTTGAGATGTGGTGAGAAGACCAAGAGATAAGGCTCCAGTCGGATGTAAGTGGGTCTTCACAGTTAAATATAAGGCAGATGGGTCTATCGAGAGATACAAAGCTC